TCCTCTACCATTCTCCAAATGACGCTGAGGGAGTATGAGTGTGTGAAAGGGCAGGAGAATCCCAACCATTTACAGGGCTTGGATTTTCTAGTAGAAAGTTCCTCTTCTGTCTCCAGCCCTCTCCCACAGCCAAGTGCATGAGCCAGCAAAGGAGGAAGGAACATAAATCCACCTGGATTGAGGCCAAGCAAAGATGCTCCAGGGCCATTCCTCCCAACCAGACATGCTCTGGCCCTGTGCAAGACACTTTCCTCCTGAGACCTGGTTTTCTTCAACACTCATAGGTTCCTGGATCCTTTAGTGAGGGATCTGTTACACCCACGGTCACTGCCTGCCATATACCTCAACGAGCGTACTGGCCAGAGAAACTGCCCTAGTTATTGAAATAGTACACTCTACCCAACAGCCAAACACATGCAGCCTGGCTCACACTCCCAGCTCCAAGCAGCCACAGTGGGGCCGGAGGGGTAGGAAAAGAGCATTTGCTGTTTGCTGAGACCTGGGTGGACCTGATGGCCGGAGGCAAGAGTGACTAAGGCTGCTGTCACCCCAGCTGAGGTGCTTTTAGGTAGCGCTCCTGCAGATGGAGCCACTGGCAGTGTAGGAACTGGCGATTAGTAAAAAGAAAATGTTCAATGGCCCTGGACCTGGGCTGTCTGTCCCTCAGCCTGCCCCATCTTGCTTTTGGAAACTGCACATTCCAGCTTCCAAGAGGCTCTTACCATGAAGCTAAGTACAGGCTCTTTCAACAAGTATTCATAGAGAAGAAAAAAGAGCAGATGAGGACCCTGCCCAATCCCAAGAGATTTGTCTGCATTGGTTTTTGTTCAAGTAGAACAATCTTAACCTCAGCCAGAGCCCGCTCTCCGTCTGTTCTCAGGGGCAAAGGTGCCCTGTTTCCTTCCTCATGGTGGATGCTCTGTGCTGATTGTTTTATTTAGGAGCTGTGATTATGTGACCACAAACCTTACTAAATCGAATACAACCCTGAGCGTTGAGAAGAATCCGCACAGGACTCAAGGGAGGAAGCAGCTGGCTGGAAAGAAAGGCCATGAATTCTAATCCCAAGGCTTCCATCTGGCATTGACCTGGGACAACTCATTTACTCTGCCCTGGGGCTCTTTCTGGAACTCTGGGCCAGAGGCCAAGCAGGCCTGGGCTGTCAGGGGGTGAAGAGACCTGTCAGAACTCAGTCGCTGCTCTTCACAGCAAGCAGGAACCCACAACCAGAGCATGTGTTTACTGTCCTGGAGGGTCTCGAATTTTCTACTTAGCCTTCCTGACCTAGTGTTGAACTCCCAAGAGGTCCCCTGCCTGGCTCATGAGCCTGGTTGGAACCCTGGGTTTTTCAAAAGCACCGTGAATGGACAGATCAAAGCAACCGACCTGTTTCCCTCCAAGGGTTTTTGGTGGCTTTTATTTCAAGCTGGTTGTCCACTCCTCTAAAACTCAACATGAACTGAGACTAAGTCAGGTATGGCAGCACAATCTGTAATCCCAGCACTTGGGAGGGTGAGACAGGAGGGTCAGAAGGCTAGCTTGAGCTCTGTGAAACCCTGCCTCAAGCAAACAAACAAAAAGAGTCTCAGTTGTTAGATCGTGAGTAAATAATTGTAAATGAATAGTCTCTGCCTGTTCTGTTGGTGGTTTACAATGAGAAGTTGATCTGGAGCTAAATTGCTACCTTGGCCATGGTCTATAAGGGTTTTTAACTTTTTTTTTTTTTTTTTTTTTGGTTTTTCAAGACAGGGTTTCTCTGTGTAGCTTTGCGCCTTTCCTGGGACTCACTTGGTAGCCCAGGCTGGCCTCGAACTCACAGAGATTCGCCTGCCTCTGCCTCCCGAGTGCTGGGATTAAAGGCGTGCGCCACCACCGCCCGGCCGGGTTTTTAACTTTTAATTTTATGTATACGAGTGTTTTATCTGCCTGTATATCTGTACACCATAGGCATGTCTGGTTCCCCAGGAGGCCAGAGAGAGTATTGCATCCCCTGGTACCAGAGTATCAGATGATTGTGAGCCACCATGTGGGTGCTGGGAATTGAACCCACATCCTCCAGAAAAGCAGTTAGCGTTCTTAACCACTGAGACATCTTTCCAGCCCCTTTCTGGGGGCGGGGGAACTATGCCAAGCCTGCAGATGCGTGGATGTTTGGGGCCTCCTGCTGTATCTGTTTTCCAAATTAACTTCTGGAAGGCAGTTTTTCAGCTCTTAGCTCTAAGAAAAGCCCTAAAAGGATACACAGTTGCAACATTTGTCTAGGATCACCACTAGTCAAGGCCCTGGTTACCAGCCTTTGCCACCTATCTTACAAATAGACCCTTGAATTGTTTGTCTGCTATCAGATTACAGCCGGTGATTCTCTGTTCTAGACACTGGGAAGACGCCATGGAGAAAGACACAGTCCGCACTTTCAGGAACATTTACTAAATAACTTATACAAATAATCACTTAAAAAATTGTTAAGTGCGGGCTGGAGAGATGGCTCAGAGGTTAAGAGCAGTCTGCTCTCCCAGAGGTCCTGAGTTCAATTCCCAGCAACCACATGGTGGTTCACAACCAGCTGTAATGAGATCTAGTGCCCTCTTCTGGTGTGCAGACATACATGCAGGCAGAACACTGTATATATAATAAATACATAAATCTTTAAAAAATTTAAGTGCATGAAAAACTGAGGAGGGAGGGAATTGTGAGAATTCCAGAATTACAGATTGTCTAACCTGGCTCCCATGGGAAGCTTCTTAGAGACAACGTATTAATCGAGGCTGATGATGAAAGCTCTAAGAAGAGGAATATGAGGTGGGAGCGATCGGGGTGCCATTGGGATAAGGCTAGTGGCACAAAGTGCAGCAGGCCCAGGGAAGAGTGGTCCAGGGGCTAACGGGAGAGCGAGCCCTGCTCCTCAGCCGGCCACCGTCTTGGCCCCGGCTGAACCATCACTTCACGCAAACTGCTGTGCCTGGTCCTGGGGCGGGTGGGGGCCTATTCCTGCGCTGGCACAGCACGCTGTGGAAGAGTGTCCTCGTCCTAGCCTGGGAAGCGTTCGAGTGGATGGACTTCCATAGCAGCACAGCACTGAGGAAGGAAAGAGGCAAGACATGCCAGGCACTTGCCTTCCCTGCACATCCTCTCCGCATGCTTTCCCATTGCTTTGAACTGTTTATTAACACACAACAGAAGCCATTTTGCTGTTTAGATGGCTCTCTGGGAATTCCATGCCACTCCCACCCCCTCCTTAGGTGGATGGAAAAAAATCAGCTTTCAAGATATTTTATACTTGAATTTCAGAAACTAAATTACATTACTACATACAATGAGACGGCGCCATTGCCTGTTCCTATCTGTGTGCTTCAGGCCCCGCGAGGCTGATAGCATCAGTGTGTCAAAGCAGCTGGACCCACACAATTTGCAGCCAGCTGGAGCTGGGCCAGAGGTAGACAGAGTGGGGGTGTGAAACCCTCTCAGAATCTGGAGCACCCCAGGGTCTACTGTAGGCAGGCACCCGGGGTTTGGGGTTCTCTCCATAAATAATCACTTCTTCTATTCGTAAAGAGAGAAGCTGTCTTAATGGACCTAGATGTAACCAGCTGAAAATGGCTCTCTGGAGCACTGAATCACAAAAGCACTAATAACAGTGTGCTCAAAAGGTTTTCTCTGGGGTCAAGAGAGACGGGGCAAGGAAAGAATGGAAACTGTAACAAATAAAAGACAGGCTCCTAAGGTCTTTTTTAAGATTTTTAAATTTTTATTTTATGTGTATGGATGTTCTACCTATGTGTACGTCTGTGTACCATGTGTGTGCAGTGCCCGTCAAGGCCAGAAGAAGACACTAGTGCTCTAACCGCTTAGCAATCTTGCCAGCCTGTTTTTATGGTATTTTTGAGACAGGGTCTCACTCTGTAGCTTAGGCTGCTATCCACCTGTCTCAGCCTCTCCAATGCTGGGATTCCAGGTACTGGGTACCATATTTATATTTGGATGTTTAAAAACCAAAGTACTCCTGGAAATAAATATTCTGTGCTTCCTTGAAACCCAGATGTGAAGGTCTCCTAACCAGAGTTCTCACTAAAACCAGGTTGGAGAGTGGGTAGAGAGACAGTATTGTTTCCCTGCCAGGGAACATAGTAACTTTTGGAGTCTCCTTCCTAATTATAACCAAGATTTAATTCTACAGAACAAGCATTCCTCTCATAGCAGAAAGTCTTCAGATTATTGAGTTATTTCAAAAGCATCAAATGTCATAATACATTCATTCAACTTGGGAAGTACTTACAGGCCAATTTTTATAAATAGCAAATACAAGCTGTTCATGTCCAAAACATGATTATTTTCCCAAATGCATTTGCTCCCCAAGGTCAAGGTTTTGGGAGGAATTCAGCCTCAGTGAGGTTGCCAGTCCTCTGCCATAGCTCAAGCCTGCCTTCCCTCACCCCAGTGTTCCCTCACCCCAGTGTTCCCTCACCCCAGTGTTCCCTCACCCCAGTGTCTTCCCACTCACTCATGATCCAGTGTCTAGATGAAGGGACAGAAGGACAAAGATGTACCCCTAGCTTTAGCTGCATGGTCTAAATTTCTCTGGCCATACTGCAGAAATGTTGCTTACTGAATCCATCACTACACCCAAATACAAATTAGTAAAGTCATGATTGTTTTTTCACCTTTGTTTGTTGTTTGTTTTGTGTGTCAGAAGGGTATTATTGAGGGTTTGAAAAGTAAGAAATTATGATTTCCAGAGCATAGGTTCCCAGGCTGAGCCTCCGTGTGGTTATTTATAATTGCTGGAGCAGGTGTTCTAGGTTCTGGGAAAATTGAGTTACTGTTTCTATGTCTGTCCTGGCATCCCAGGCTACTCCTGCAGTGTGTGCTGGCCCCATCCAAGAACTAGAAGTTCAGACCATTGCTGACTGCTTTTCGCTATAGGCTGGGGAGCATGACCCAAGGCTATTGGGACTCTGGTGCATCAGAATTGAGTCAAACAACCACCCACCACTTGCTCTCACCTCTAGATTGGCCAGAGCCTGCTCAGCCTCCGTTGCCTTTAGCTCACACTTGCTAAGGAACAGTAGAATCTGCCGTGGATGAACAAGCCTCCTGAAGGGCATCCCTCTGTGGGAAGCTCCAAGCTTTGAGGGATCGGATCCATCATTTCTGAGAATGAAATAAAGTTTTTGTGCAAATGTCAGCAAGCCTGAGAACGGTGTGTCATGATTCCTCTCTCTGGACTTCAGACAACTGTCCCCCCTCTCTACCAGTGTCTCCTGTCACTGTGGCAAAGGCCCTCCCCTGCAGAACTCTGCTCTGGCTCCTCTCTGTCTGCCGTTATTCTTCTCAAAACCCAAACATCCTTGTCACCACCCTCTCCCTGGTCCCTGCCCCGCTCACCATGGCTCCAGATCTTCTTTTGCCCATCCCTTGTATGTTGATGTTCTTCTGGTGGCTTTTTCTTTCCTCCAGCCCTTCAAATGTTTGAGCCAGCATGCCCTCCTGCACAGTCATCAAAGCGGTCAACCCATTTTCGTCTTTTTCTTATCCAGTGGCTTTATACTTCCCGTCGTCATCCAAGTCAGCAAAGAAGCTGGTTATCACCCTCACCCTCATGTCCATCGCCGTAAGCCCAGCGGCTTCCCTCCAGCCTCTTCAACCTGTGGACATGCCTTGCTCCGGCTCTTGCACTTCCCTGGATGCCCCTTCTCCAGTCTCTCTGCCCCCAGCTCAGCCACCTTACTAGTTCCTCTGTTACTAGTTATGCTGCTCTGCCCGCGTCAGTCTGACAGGGCTGAAGGATCCCTTCAACCTCCTTTTCATCCCCTTCCCCGCTTTCTCCGGTGCTGCCTTCCACCTTTCTGCCCTGGGCTCATCTTTCTCCGTCCCTGTCCCCTATGCCTTTCCCTTGCGTACTGTCTCCCACCCCACCCCCATCTTGAGGTATTGACTGCTTGGGTGGTGGCAGTATTTTCTTCCGTAGAGAATTCATTCAGCAGGAAGTTAGTGATGAAAAGGCATCCAATGTCATTTCCTAAGAAGGGCTTCAGGTGCAGGTTGAGCATAAAGACCTGATTGGACTAGGTGTCAGCCTCCCAGATGACTGCTTTGGAAGACAAGTCCCACTGCCCTATAAGTTCTGGCATGGCATTAATCTAGTAATATTATCTGATTCCTCTGGAGGCAAAGATTGAGGCATGGAAAAAATGGACAAATCAGGTTCAAATCGCCTTCAAGGTATGACTGAGCACTTTATATCGCCTGGTTCTTCACTTTTAGAAAGAGGATGATTGGTCTTACTCAGTTCAGGGGGATTAAATGAGATACAGGTAAGGCCTCCAGCACCCTGGCTGCACATATAGCCATGTAATGATGTAGAAATAGAAACTTCTAGGTAGTGATAGCATTGACCTCTAGGATAACTGTGCCTGGGACAAATGGTTCTAAACAATTCTGTACATGGCCTGGCCGGAAAGCTGCCTCCCCAGTACAAGCTTAGTGGTCCCTCTGCCTGCTCTGTAAATCGTTGTTCCTCTTACCACTAAGAATGTAGCCAGGGTAAGATTGGGATACAGGAATCTTTGCAAGACTGTCTGGAGATAGTGTATGTATGGGAGGCCTGGCCTAGAGCCCCACCATTCAAAAGCATAACCCCTGTACTAACATTGCCATCACCTGGGACCTGGGATGAAACGTGGGCCCTGGGCTGCAGTCCATAGTTACTGAATCAGACTCTGCACCTCACCAATCCCCAGGTGATCTGTGCATATATTTTTGTTGCTGGCCTAGGATAACAGGGATGTGGACTGCACGAGGGTGCCAAATCTATCTAGAAGAGGTGAATTCTGCATAGATGGGGTGGACTGTGGTAGAGGAATGAGACCAGGGCTCAGGCTTCTTCTGAGATGTGGGTTAACTGTACAAGGCTTAGGGATTGCACATGCTGTTTTTCTTTCACGATTTCTTCCCTGTGGGTGCCTTGGGCATGAGTTTGTACCCCTGAGTCATTCAGTCAGTGTCAGAACATCAGGCAGGGAGTGATGGGTGAGCCAGACTCAGCTACAATCCACCTTCAGTCTGAGGAGACCCTTTAGCAGAGACCCCAGGACAAACAATCTACTTAGGCAGTTGATTATTTTCCTTGAGAGATGCGTAACTAGCTACTAATATATAACTCTGGATGTCCTAGAACTAGCTCTATATAGACCAGGCTGGCCTTAAACTCACAGAGATCCCTCTGCCTCTGCCTCCCTAGTGCTGGGATTAAAGGTGTGCCTGGCTCTCACCCCACCTCTAAAGTATTCTTAGAGTGCTTACCTAGCATGTCCAGGCCCCTGAGTCTGATTCCCAGCACCACAAACACAGGAGAGCAGAAAAGGAAGGGAAGGAGAGAGAAAAGAATGAACAGAAAGAAAGGAATAAGTCAATAAATCATCTTCATGACAAAAACCAGGGCTCAGTCTTGTTGCCCCAGCAGATAGGATGCCCTACCCATTGCTGTTGTTCAGGAAATATCACATTCTTAAACAGTCATTGAAATGAGGGATGGGGGGCTAGCGAGATGGCTCAGTGGTTAAGAGTACTGACTGCTCTTCTGGAGGACCCTGGTTCAATTCCCAGCACCCACATGGCAGTTCACAACTGTCTATAATTCCAGTTCCAGGGGACCCAATACCATGGCAAAACACCAATGCACATAAAATAAAAATAAATAATTTTTGGAAAAAAAGAAATGAGGGACAGAAGAAGAAATTATAATAGTAATAATAACAACAACAATAATAATAGAACATTTGGCCAGAGTTAAGCTTTAGAGCTGTAAGTGTCTTTATGAGTAAAAGATGGTATCTGTCTGCCAGGTCTAATGAGCATTAGAAAGTTAGAACAGGCATAAAGGGAAGCAAGGGCAGGGCTAGGAGACACCACAGAGAACCCATTGATCCCATCCTTTCAACTTTACTGTCCATTGTAGACAAGCGGCTCCTTATTCTTCCAATGCTGCAGGAGGGGGCAGGGGTGGCTGCTCTGGGCCGGCATCCCATGGATTCTGTCAGACTATTTCTTTTAGTCCTTCGAAGTCAGAACAAGATTCATGAACCAGAGCAGGCCAGGATCACTTCTTAAGTAACTGAACCATAGGAAGCAAAATGGCACATGCCTGTAATCTCAGCACTCATGAAACTGAGGCAGGAGGTTTACTAGGAGTCCAAGGCCAAGTCTTACACAGCAAGACACTGTCAAGAAGGAGGAAGAGGAGGAGAAGAGAGAGAAAGTCAACAACAACAAATCCCCTTTAGGGTTGGGGATTTAGCTCAGTGGTAGAGCGCTCACCTAGCAAGCTCACAGCCCTGGGGTCAGTCCTCAGCTCTAGAAAATAAATAATCCCCTTTAATGAGATTTAGGGCCAAGATCCAAGTGAGCATCCTCAAGTGATTCTGCGGAGACACATGCCGGTGTCTGCTGGCATTTCTCCTGCTTTAGCTTCAGTCCCACCTGCCTATGACCGATCCCAAGCCCCACCCATGTGCCAGTTTCTGGGCAGTGTCTTCTGTGTGTGCCTCTTGCCTTACCTTGAAGAACCAGAATCCACATCCTGGAAGGAAATGGAAAGATAGTCTCATCTCCAAACCCCAAACCCCCTCCAGCTCTCTTGGACTTAGAATCATTTCCCTTCTATGAAAAGCTTCATTCCGCAAAAGTCTGTGTTGGCTGAATCTGAATTTTAAAGATAGGGGACTATTTATTCCCTTACTGCCCACCCTGACACCATTTTCTCCTGTCTAGGTCCTGCTGGTGACTTGTGTGTGCATGTGTTTAAGTATACATAGCATAACATTTGCCATTTCAACCCATTGTTGATGTTTTTTTTTTTTTTTAAGGAACTTCGTGTCTATACTTCTTTAATTAAATGACATCACCTTTCTCTAAAAAGATTGAAATGAGGTGGGTGGGGATAAATAGAATTTAAAGACCTTGTAGATCACAGGAGAGCATACGCTGGTCCAGGGTGAGGAAGGCACCTCCTTAACACGTGGGCAGGGATGAAGGTCAGGGCTAAGGCAAACTAGGCTTCCCAGAAGGAACCAAGAGCTCTGTGCTCCTGGACCTTACCTTCTGGCCTTTATACCCAAGGTTCCCCCAAACGAAAGCTGCTGAACTTAAGCATTTGTCCCATCTCTCAAACAGGGACTCTTTGGTCCCAGGTTTCTAGTGAGTGTTGCATGATTTTTTTTTTCCTGGAGAGACACAAATGTCTATATACCCCACCTAGAGAAGGCACTGACACACCAGTGTCCAACTTGGTGAACCAGGGCCTTAATTGGGGTTCCAAGAACTTGGGTGGGTCCCAGGCAGCTGTACCACTGAAGCATCCCATCCCAGTTGTTTCCTCATAGACTGGTGGTTAGAATCTTGGGAATGGTGTTGTGGGGTGGCATTGGGAAGGGTTAGGGCCTGATGAGCATCACACCTCTCTTCTCCCTCCATGAGGGAGTGTTCCTATACTCCCATATCTCCTGTGGGTCTTGGGAAGGTCATCACAGATGCTCTGAGATGGTGATGCTCATGTTGCTGGAGGAAACGGCTTCACTCCAGTAGGAGAGAATGAGTATCTGAGAATCATCTGGAAGACATACAGCCTGACTATGAAGAATGGGTACTAGAACTTCAGGAGACCCTGGCTGGCTGAGGAGGCAGCCCAGCGGGCAAAGTGCTTGCTACACAGGCATAAGGTCCTGAGTTTGCGTCTCCAGCACCCACATGAATGACACGAAGGCCTGTAATGCCACCAACGGGGAGGTGGAAACAAGCAGCTCCCAGCAAAACTGGCTGCCTAAACTAGCTGAGTTGGTGAGCTATAGGTTTAGCTAAAGACCCTTCCTCCATGTATAAGGTGGAAAGTGATCACCTGATGTCAACTTATAGCCTCCACATGTATGTGCACACAAGCGTACCCACACCTGCACACGTATGTGTGGCTACACACATACATTCATGCATGGAAAACATACAAAAATAAATAAAAGTAACCCCCCATGGTCCCATACTTTGCATATCATTCAAGTATCCACCCTAGAGCTGAAAACTAATATGTAAAAGACCTGAGCATGGTCGTGCATGGCTGTAGTTCAAGTACTTGGCAAGGAAAGGCGTGAGCACCAGGAGTTCAAGGCCATTCTTAACTGCACAGTGAGGTTGAGGCCAGCATGGTTTACATGGGACCCTGTCTCAAAAAAGAAAGAAAAAGAAAGAAAGAGAGAAAGAGAGGGAGGGAGGGAGGGAGAGAGAGAGGGAGGGAAGAAGGAAGGAAGGAGGGAGGGAGGGAGGGAAGAAGGAAGGAAGGAAGAAAGAAAGGAAGGAGGGAGGGAGGGAGAAAGGGAGGGAGGGAGGACGGGGGGGGGGGGCTGGAGAAATGGCTCCGTGGTTAAGAGCAGTGGCTGCTCTTCTAGAGGTCCCAGGTCCAGTTCCGAGCACCCACACAGCTGCTCACAACCATCTGTTGTTCTAGTTCCAGGGAATCTGTTGCCCTCCTCTGGCCTCCCTG